TCAATAGTAATCAATCACTGTACCTATTAATTCGGATCAATACCGGATATTATGTAATTCAGAAAGCATTACATACACTATATACCTCCATTTCAGGGGAAGCCAGGATATTCTATCTTTGCTGGAATTCTTAAAGTAAAAACCACCCATTCTAAATCTAGACAGGACTTGCTGATCATTTAATCAAAGAATGTGATTAATCACACAGGTGTAAAGCATTTATCGAATCATTAAAGAGTTCATTCAAAAATATAAATTCTGTCATCAGCTCAACTTTATGCTGCTCAAAACCATCCACTGAAGACAAAAGGTTGTGAGCAACATCAGCGTGTGCACATGATGACAGTTGAAATTTTATGGTGAACGATTCCTTCAAGAATAATACATTCATGTGCAATTTCTCATGCAGTTCAAAGACATATTGTACAGGATTTGTGCAGAAATCACTGTATATACTGAAATGAGTTGCAGTGGGTGAGAGTGTGCATGCAATCATCTCTGACGACGTGATTGGTTATTGGGATATAGGAGTGAGGCAACACTGACTTGTGGCCTATAAGGGTGAGAGCGGAAGGTGCTTTTGCGGTGCGGGGGTAAGGTTTGCCGGTCCTTGATGGATTTCTGTTTTAACTTCAGTCAAACATAAAGCACATGTAAACATCATCACCAAAATCAGGATGGGAGTCATTCACATCACTATAACCAAAAGAACTGTGTTCATTTTAACCAGACCAGCATTTGACAGTGCTTGTAAATATAATCACCCCTAAGCAGTTTCATGATGACACAAAACCTAATGAATTATTTAAATCATAGTCAAGCTTTTAACATATTTGATTAAATAAATAAATAAAATATATACTGATATTACCGGCAGAAGTTAGAAGCTTGTAGTAAAACTTGTAGAAGAAACAGATGTAGCAGTTAGATAAACTAAAATATCAGCTGTTTCAGCTATCAGCTTAAAGGGTTAGTTCACCCAAAAATGAAAATTAGCCCATACATTACTCACCCTCAAGTCATCCTAGGTGTATATGACTTTCTTCTTTCAGACGAATCCAGTCGGAGCTATATTAAAAATTGTCTTTGATCTTTCAAGCTGTTTCATGGTATTCAGCGGGTGTTGCATGCTTCAGTTCAAAACAAATTAAATAAAAAGCTCCCATCCATAAAAAAAAGGGGGGGGGGGGGGGGGAAAAAAGGCCGGGGGGGGGTGAACAAAGGCCTTCTGTAGCGAATCAATGCGTCTTTGTAAGAGAAATATACATATTCAAAACGTAATAAACACTTTAATGTAGCTTGCGCTCACTCAGTTCCGGGCGGATGACGTATGAGGTCAGCTTTGCGCATGCGCCGCTCAGAAGTGACGCACGCAGAAACGCAGCGGAGAGATCAAAACAAAACAACGGTCACTAATTAGAAGTACAAAATTAGGATTTGTAAAGAAGAATGTCGGAGGATTTCGATATAAGCCAAGTTTTCTTTTGCTAATGTAAGGAAACTTTGCTTCCTTTGCTCCTGTAAACAAACGTTGGTTTTCACGAGACTCACTGGCGCATGTGCAAAGCTGACCTCCGAGGTCATTCGCCTGGAACTGCTTCCCTTTACAACAGTGAGCGCAAACTACATTAAAGTGATTATTACATTTTGAATATGGATATTTTTCTTACAAAAACACATCGATTCGCTACAGAAGTCCTTTGTTCACTCCTCGGAGCCGTGTGAGCCACTTTTTTTTAATGGATGGGCACTTTTTATTTAACTTGTTTTGAACTGAAGCATGCAACATCTGCTGAGTGCCATGAAACAGTTTGAAAGATCAAAGACCATTTTTAATATCTGAAAGTCTGAAAGAAGAAAGTCATATACACCTAGGATGACTTGAGAGCAAGTAATTTATGGGCTAATTTTCATTTTTGGGTGAACTAACCCTTTAAGCACTGGGTGAAACAAATCTTCATAAACTGAAAAATAAGAGTTTAACCACTAAATGAAGATAAAACCATCTTAAAACTGTGTTTGATTATTTGTTTCATTAAGCTTGCCATTTGTATTGAATTTGAGCAGTTTCATTATGCATGCTGTTATTGCCTCGTGTGCAGTAGGATGATGCCTCTTTGTATGCATATGCATGTGTACCTTGTCATTGGACTCGTGTAAATATACGCTGTGTCTCGTCCTGATAGGAATGGAATCAGGCAGTCTCCGGTCAAGACTACGAGTTTTGTGCACATCTTGTAGCAGAGCTGAGTGGTTAGACTAAAATAGGTGGAACAAGAAAAGGCAAGATTATTAGGACTGATAATGAGGTATGTCAGGGAAACAAACTGAAATACTCTCAAACTGTGTAGATGCACACACAGACACACACTTTTAATTAAGCACTGCACAGGGCACTGAAACCAGGATTAGTAGGTTTTAATAAACCAAATTGAAAGGGATTTCTGGGATTTCCTGACAAGATATTTTAATGCTGATAAGCACCTGAATCTGTTGTCTCACCTGTGATTTGAGACTGATTTTAGGAAGTTCCCACTCAGATCTGGAGCCATCTGCGCTGTAGTAATACAGCCGGCCTCGCTCGTCTTTGTGTCTCAACCACTATATACATATACAAAAAAAGCCTTGTAAGGCAGGTTTTGGGTTCACTTGGACTCTGATTCCTTTTCCGACACAAAGGCATATCTAAAGCCACCCTTCCACTATATCCAACATTCAAGTACAATTGCCGCATTTCGCCTCCTATTGACAATCATTGTAAAATGAATGTATGAATATATATTCATGATTAACGTATTAGTGCAAAAATATTTGTAATTCTCACCTTGCGCTAGGGTTGTGCCGATAGACGATAGTATCGTGTATCGATGATAGTCAGAGATAGACGATAGCAGATGTCTTTGTCGATAGTCAAGACGATATTAGGCTCATTCTCCTATTGATGTATTAAATAATAATAATAATAATTATTATTATTATTAGGCGGCCCATTATAATTTGTCTATTATTATCAAATTGCCCCACTTTTTCATTCAGCACTGTATTGCGCGCGCGCGCGCGCGTCAGATTTCACTGATCACGTGAAGAGAGGCGCTTTCAGGGCGAGCACGAAGGTGTGCTCCGTCCGAGGATTTGGTTTACAAACTACAGTAAAAGACCGCTTCTTAAACCAGAGAAGGTGAACATGTTGGTATTTTTGTGGAAAAAAAACATGCAAGTCCTGTCAGCGACAGCCAGTTTAGTTTTACTTTTCTTTTTGTTTTCGTTTTGAAAACTTGTTATCTTTGCTGTTTACCTCGCGTTAAATAATAATAATAATAATAATAATTATTATTATTATTAGGCGGCCCATTATAATTTGTCTATTATTATCAAATTGCCCCACTTTTTCATTCAGCACTGTATTGTGCGCGCGCGCGCGTCAGATTTCACTGATCACGTGAAGAGAGGTGCTTTCAGGGCGAGCACGAAGGTGTGCTCCGTCCGAGGATTTGGTTTACAAACTACAGTAAAAGACCGCTTCTTAAACCAGAGAAGGTGAACATGTTGTTATTTTTGTGGAAAAAAACATGCAAGTCCTGTCAGCGACAGCCAGTTTAGTTTTAGTTTTCTTTTTGTTTTCGTTTTGAAAACTTGTTATCTTTGCTGTTTACCTCGCGTTACGCTATGGAGGCTTTCCTCATTTATTTTATTATTATCATTATTTATTTGATTCCTCAGTGTTTGTTAAACATTCTGTAATTTATTAGTCGATATATACAGAATGTGATGTATTCTATGCCATGCCTCGTCTTATTCGTTTTTGTTAATAAAGGTTATGTAAGCTAGTTTTTTGTTATTGTAGCCTACTGTTTTACAGTTGTTGTGCTTTTTAATTAGGAATAACAATAAATCCATTTTTTGTTTTAGTCTTAAAAAGTGAAAGGTGTATAGACATAAGCAAAACAGACAATTATCTTTTCTTGTAAAACGTGACACCAAGATCACGAATTTGAAAGTGCGCGAAAAGAGGAATTCCTGTTCACAATTTAAATAAAAAATAATACTACTGATGAAAAAGAACGGGTTGAATGTTGAACACTTTCGTTACCATATAACTATAAACTATGATAAAAGTTAGGGATGCACGATATATCGGCCACCATATCGGTATCGGCCCATATCGGCTCATTTTTTCTGTTATCGGTATCGGCCTGATAAGAAAATTTGGCCGATATCTTAAAGCCGATAAATAATGCATTATTTAGCAAAAAAAAAATTGCGACCAAATTATGTGCTCGTGCGACCAACTGAGAAAGTTGCAAAAGAGTGGCCAGTGGGAAGAATGAGTCTAGAGCCCTGACATATGTGCAATATATTAACCAATCCCTCACTAACTGAGTTTAATGCCACAGTTATGTTAGAACGCATCTCATTCTTGTTTCTGTGGCGGTGAGTCAGGCTCATCATGGGGCGCGCAGTCCGGAGCGCTGTATGACTGATGTATCTGTTTAATTTAAATTTATTCCAAATATATTTATATTTTACTTACCTGTTTTAAATACTTTATATTTAACGTGTTCGTTTATGTCCAATATTTAGTGTTAAACTGTTGGTCTTTAAAATAAATCTACTTTTGACTTTCGTTGACTGATTTTACAGACCTTTTAGACTGATAACTTTCGTGCTCTAATGCGGCAAACTTGTCACAGGACACGCGGTCCTAATAGCGATGTATGACTTGTATCCGAATATATATGAAATAGCCATTTTAAATATTTTTGTATTTAACATGTTAGTTTATCAGTATGTTTGAAAGTATATTATTTAGATTCGTAGTGCTTCCATAGGATTCCTCTCTCTCTCGCGCTCGGTTTAAAACACCAAATAGTTATGAAATAGCCTATGACAAGTACAGAGTCTCTCTCTTGCCCCCACCCATGCACGATAATATCGTCTATCGGCGATCTCACTGACTGGCGATATGACGATTTGAAAAATGACCATATCCCCCAACACTACCTTGCGCGCATAGTTTTGATTAAAATACGTGTTGTTGTTGAGTGGTTGCATACAGTCTAGCCGCAAAAGTTCAAATATTTCATATAACGAAGCTTAAATTTTATTAGAAAATTTCACATAAACATTCCACACAGCTCATGTACTACTGCTCTCCATTGGACTTCCAATCTGTTGGAAACTGTTTGTCGGAGACAGTAAAAAGGTGGCTTCACAGAATGCAACATAAAGGAAGTTTTTAAAACGTAATGCATAAAAATGTAACAGACATGACAAGGGGTTTTAAAAAAAAAAAAACAGCATGCGAGGCCTGTAATGGCAATAAAAAACACACTCAACTAACAACTAATTCACAGCTTATTGAATGCACCAAATAAAGCAGCGCAAATAAAACTATCCCAAAAAAAAAAGTTCTGTGACTTTTCAACCACTGTGATCATCTCTAGATACACCGAATCAATGGTTTGGACAGGTCATACAATTTGTTAACCATAGAAATGAGGAAGTGTGGCCATGTAATAAAAACAATAAACAAGCCAGTTCAGGGTATAGAGTTCAGAGAATCATAGAGTTAAATTTAATACCTTTTAAGACCTTTTTTAAGACTCTTTCCATATATTTTAAGACCTCATCGCCACTCCAAGTTTTAACCGGTTACATCTGCGACACTTTAACTTACATTTAATATATATTGATTGTAAGATACTTTGTGATAATTCCTTATCAATAAAACATAATTCAGAAGGGGGGAATGAAGTACAAGAGAATTAATTGAGTGACTAACCAATGCAACCCAAGAAACAAGAATTATGGTGTGTTCACACCAGACGCGAAGCGAATATGCACATCGCATCACTCGCTCTAGATTACTTGCGGGATGTTTTTTGTGTCACTCGCGCAAATAAAAACAGCGCAATCAACCATGGTGGAGATAACTACAATCGCTGTTTGTACCTGTTGTCAAAAAGTCCCAAATACAATGGAAAGCCAAATGCAGACGTGTCTGGGTTCAAAGCACCATCCAGAGGAGGATGAATAACGTTAGGATCCTGTATTAATGTGTGTGTTACATTTTACTACTGTATATATACACTGATATTACTATTATTTTTATTATTGATAGCAGCATCTCTGTAACCATGCTAATAAAATACAACTACCACTACAACTGATTTTAATTGTTTTCTATGCTCCAGACCTATATAATAACAGACGGCTGCAATAATGCTCTCTTCTATTGTTTGATTCAACCAGACGTGCCTATAAGCTCTTCGCTGATTGGCTTGCGCGAGAATGCGTCAGGCGAATTTTCGCTCGAGTTGAAATTTTTGAACTTGCGCGTAAGACGCGATTGAGGCGAATATCTCGCATTCGCGGCAAACGCGTCGCGCCTTTCGCGTCATTCGCGTCGCCTGGCGCGAATTCGCCTCTATTCACGTCTTTGCATTGACTTTGTATGTAATCTAGTCGCGCGAATAATTAAATTCGCGTCTGGTGTGAACACACTGTTAGACCAATAAACAAAACAACTGACCAAACTTATTGAGGAGGGAAAATAAAGCTCTCCGAGCTAACGGGGCAATGAGTTCACACAGTATATTCAAACGATGTATTTGTCACATCAACTCTTATAACTGTCTGCAAACCATAGCTGTTTTGTGGAACACTTCTCATGACAAACATCTGACTGATCAGACAGTTTACCTGTGATTACGGAGTGCTTGATTTGATGCAGACTTGACAGAGTGTCAGTACTGCACCTGATCATGTCTGAATGATCATGGAAGGTAAAATAATGATCACAACTATTACATCATTTTAATTGTGCATCCCAAGCCCATGCCAGTAAAAAAAAAACAGCCCAAAGTAGCGCAATTACCATGTCCCAAATATAAAAATTGAATTTCCATCCCTAAAATACAAATTTTATAAAATACATTTTAAAATACATTTATCATAAACACAGCTCAAATGCTTCCTACTAGTGTGGCCCAAAACATTTAGCAGTTTTATGACAGGTAGAATGCAAAATGTTTCAGTACAAGCATTTCAACCAAATGTAATTAAAATTATATACAATATTAGAATGTTTGCCGGAGCGGATGGGAGCATGTGGTAATGGTCAGAAATTCAGCGAGAGCGGGATCAACAAGCCCAGCGCCATCACGCAGCAGCGCAGTCAGTCAGTGAGCGCCGTAACAGATTAAGTCAAATCTTGCGGGATTTCATAAATAAAATACACAACAAATATACATAATGAAAAGATGATACAAAAATGAATACCTTGGAAAATGGCATTAAAGACTTTTTAAGGGCCTTAATTTTCTCTAAATTTATTTATCAACTTTTAATACTTTTTAAGACATGCAGTCTTAAAAAGGACACCCTGCAGTTGTTGATCAAAAAGTTAGTTGTTTCTCCATTTGTGAGCTTGGTAAGACAAAAAAAGTCAACCATGAAAACACACTGAGTTTGTCTTTGTACCTTCTCATTAGTATAGTCAGACACATAGAGAGTGTGTCCATGCTCATCCATTTCCTCAGACCAGCCTCTAGGGGGCGAACCGTACTGGCTGTCTGATTGGCTGCTCAGACAGTTTTCGTCTGAGGACAGAACCTTCACCCATCCAATCACAAAAAAGCAAGACGAGTAGAAAGAAATATAGAGAGAAACAAAGTAAAAGAGTTAATTCAGAGAGGCAGACAAGGAAAAGAGAGATGAGAAATAAATCACCAGTCAGTCAATCAACCCTTCACCCAAAAGATAAGAGAAAATCAATTACACAGAATGCTTTGCATGCATATAAATATACAGCTTAGGTTGAGAAAGAGTTTAGCTATCCCATCATGCATTTACCAAGACCACAACAGATATTTTGTCCCTGATGAAGCCAATACATGCGTGTGTGTTTGTGCGTGCATGCATCACTGTCTGTTGTGTTGAGTCTAATCAGAGGGTGTGTGTACCTCAGTGTCAGTCATGTCTTGTTTCTCTTCTTTCCTGGTGAAGCTGTCCCGTGCCCGTGGGGGTTTCCAGGTCCTCTCCTGCGTGCTGCGGTTGTAGTAGAAGTGTCTGCCATTCTGGTCTTTGTGAGTCTCCCAGTCGCCATTGGTGTGGAGCGGAGAGGAGGACGGCAGTGGAGGAGTGGAGGACTGAGAGATCTTCAGCTCCTGTAGGTTTGTGTAGACCGGAGAGCCAGGCCTGCCCTGCCCTGAACCTAAAATCTGCATTACAAGAGAGAGAGACAATCGTTGTTAGAAATGGTTGTTTGATATAGCACAAATAATCAAGTAAAACTAAAATTGTAAAAAGCTTGCGATTAATACACTTACTAAACAAATTTAATGCAATGCAACAACAAAGGAGTTTTGTGGGCAGAGGAATAGTTTACAGAATTTTTACCAGATCTGGAATAAGGAGCAAATTAAACTAGACACAGAAACACAGAAGGTCCAGAAAGTCTTAAGGTTTAATTGGAGTGCCTAGCAACACTGTTTAAAAATCAGCCCTCTACGAACACCTTGGCAATTGAATCGCCATTGGCTAGTACATTTTTTAGTTTACTCGCCAGACTGATAAATATATATATGTTTGTTTCTAAAATGGCACAGTTTTATAAATATCTGAAAGTACACTCTTAACATCAGTCAGTCAAGCATTATAATATGATAATCAATATTACTTAATTTAAACTTGATAACCATGTATGAATGCATATTAGTAATTTTAACTGAACTTCAGACTGGTTGTGGTGCTTTTTTGGTCATTCAGTGTTTCTGTAAAAAAATTAAAAATATGGGTTAAAAAAATAACAAAACTACTGATAAGATAATAACGATATTTTAACGAATTTTACTAATAAGAACAATATAAAACGCACCAAGGATTAATGAGCTACTGGATTCATGAATATTAATCAGGTTGTGTGCGTTCGCTCGAACTGATTTGCTGAAATCAAAACAGGGACGATAATAGGTGAGCACAAGCCAATGAGATTGGCATTAGTTCCGCCCACTACCGGAGAAAGCGGAAGAATTGCAAAGGAACTCCATTATTTTGACAGCAAAATACAACAAAGAATATCGTTTACATGTAGCGCGTCAATTCTCTCTCTCCCTCTCTCGCTGCGTGTGTGTGAAACAAAGCGACGGCGAGTCATGCGCCTTCACACTAGAGTTTACGGTACGTTAAATACAGGTGCGTTGCACATCCATTCAGATGAACTGAAAAACAGCACAGATCGCTTTGCGGAGAGTGAAACTCTGAAGCGCTCAGTCAGAGTGTTCGGCGAGTGAAAATATATCGGAGCTAAACTTATACTTAGCCTCCAACTCACACACTGGCGAGTAAAATCTGAGAATGTATTAGCAATTGGCTAATATTAGACATCATTTAGTCACCCAGCGTGAAGATTTAGTCGCATAAGCGAGTGATTTACTCGCAATGTAGAGGGTTGAAAATGAAGGAATATAATCTACATATAATCTACTATATACATATACTGTATATATATATATATATATATATATATATATATATATATATATATATATATATATATATATATATATATATATATATCAGTGTTGTCACATGAAAAGATATAATAAAATATTTACAAAAATGTGAAGGGTGTACTCACTTCTGTGAGATACTGTGTGTGTGTGTGTATATATATATATATATATAATGTTTGCATCTGGACACATTTACTCTATTCCACCCTCTAGTAGTGCAGTATGACATAACAGAGAACTGAAGATGGATAAAATTAACTTATTCTGCTGCTTACAGGCTCAATTATTGTGACTTTATATGAAAATACAAGCTTAAACATGTTATTGTATAGAAACTGTATAAAAAAATCTACAGAAAACCGCAAACCATACTGACTTTGAAATACAATTATACCCTAAAATGTATTACATACATCATGTGCACACAGATTTTTCTCCATGTCAAAATTCCTGTTATCCAACCTGTTAAAGTTTCTGTTTTTCCAGATTTTTGACATATTTGCTTGTTTGAGCGAAGACCGAAAATTTGATTTTATGGCATCTGTGGCAGCTCAACTTTCGATGCATCCCTATTGCTCACAGGAACTGATTAGAATAGTATTTTATTCATGAGGGACATTATGATACTAAAACAATAGATAAGAGTCACAGTCAGAGGGAAACAGAGGGAACAGATTAGAGAGAGAGAATGAGACTGTCATTCATACCTGAAACTTATTTATAGAAGAACCTGCACAACTACATTCCAGATCCTTACAACACACAACTGAACTCACACTTATTTTACCACCAGGTCTCTCAACAAGATTAGATTAAAGGCATAAAAACAAAATCTGGATTATGAGGAATATGGCACAATAAAGCACACAGTACAGCTAAAAGCACTGAATAAAATGAGAAATCTCTAGTCTGAAACAGAGAGAGCTAAAGAGAGATGGAGGAAGTGAACGACTATGTCCAAACAGTGAACTCTACGGCTTGTCATTCAATCAAACCTGTTACACAACAGCCCCATGGGTAATTTAATTATGACAAAGGGCATTAATATAAGTGTGTGTGAGAGAGAAAGCTCTCTTGATATTTTTGCAAAGCTGTTGAAGGTTTTTTTTTTTATAAATTATAATGCAAGTGAAGTGAACCAGTCCAGTCCTAGCTTCCAAAGCCAAAGAATCCCAGCATCCATCACTGCACCATCTGAAACAAGGTAATGAGCTCACATAAATATGTGCATGATGAATCTGGATGGCACTTAACAGTTTAAGCCACAGAGGATAATGTCATCAGATTAGCGATTTGGGCTAAAGCGCACAAACACAAGCTAATGGTGTGGTGTGATCAAACTCAGACTTTTAAGGTCAAAAGGGTTTCTGCAGGATTTTTAAGCTCAAATGTAAGACCTTTTTAAGACCTGCACAAATAAAATTAATACCATATGAGCGGGGTAGGGCAATGTCTACAGTACCATATTAAACCATAAAATTACTGTAAAAAGAATAATTTACAGTTCAGATACAAGTGTTCACAAAAACAAAAAGTTTTATAAAATGATAAACTTTACATTTCAGCCTTTAAACCATTTTTAGAGTCAAAAGTATTAATTATTAACAACAAATTATTATATAAATTAAATAACAAATTAGGGGTTTGCGATATTAACAAAAAAATTATATCTTGATAATTTTCTGGGATCTTATCGATAATGCTATAGAGTGTGTTATCTTATATCTAATTGTGCTGACAGCTGACTCCTGAATTTTATATTCTGTGTGGTCAGTTCACATCAGTGATAGAAATTAATCAGTTTTATGGGCATTTTTAACTTTAAGCCATTTTTTCTAAAAGTGTGCACCATCTTTTGAGTCAAATTCTTGCATTTGGGCTGTTACCAAGCAAATGAAATAAGTATCAACAAAACTGATCTTTCCAATGCAGAGGAAACACAGAAGCTCATTTAGATGCATTTACACACTGTTTAATGCAGCTCTGAGGGACATATTTATAGAAGAACCTGCACAACTACATTCCAGATCCTTACAACACACAACTGAACTCACACTTATTTTACCACCAGGTCTCTCAACAAGATTAGATTAAAGGCATAAAAACAAAATCTGGATTATGAGGAATATGGCACAATAAAGCACACAGTACAGCTAAAAGCACTGAATAAAATGAGAAATCTCTAGTCTGAAACAGAGAGAGCTAAAGAGAGATGGAGGAAGTGAACGACTATGTCCAAACAGTGAACTCTACGGCTTGTCATTCAATCAAACCTGTTACACAACAGCCCCATGGGTAATTTAATTATGACAAAGGGCATTAATATAAGTGTGTGTGAGAGAGAAAGCTCTCTTGATATTTTTGCAAAGCTGTTGAAGGTTTTTTTTTTTATAAATTATAATGCAAGTGAAGTGAACCAGTCCAGTCCTAGCTTCCAAAGCCAAAGAATCCCAGCATCCATCACTGCACCATCTGAAACAAGGTAATGAGCTCACATAAATATGTGCATGATGAATCTGGATGGCACTTAACAGTTTAAGCCACAGAGGATAATGTCATCAGATTAGCGATTTGGGCTAAAGCGCACAAACACAAGCTAATGGTGTGGTGTGATCAAACTCAGACTTTTAAGGTCAAAAGGGTTTCTGCAGGATTTTTAAGCTCAAATGTAAGACCTTTTTAAGACCTGCACAAATAAAATTAATACCATATGAGCGGGGTAGGGCAATGTCTACAGTACCATATTAAACCATAAAATTACTGTAAAAAGAATAATTTACAGTTCAGATACAAGTGTTCACGAAAACAAAAAGTTTTATAAAATGATAAACTTTACATTTCAGCCTTTAAACCATTTTTAGAGTCAAAAGTATTAATTATTAACAACAAATTATTATATAAATTAAATAACAAATTAGGGGTTTGCGATATTAACAAAAAAATTATATCTTGATAATTTTCTGGGATCTTATCGATAATGCTATAGAGTGTGTTATCTTATATCTAATTGTGCTGACAGCTGACTCCTGAATTTTATATTCTGTGTGGTCAGTTCACATCAGTGATAGAAATTAATCAGTTTTATGGGCATTTTTAACTTTAAGCCATTTTTTCTAAAAGTGTGCACCATCTTTTGAGTCAAATTCTTGCATTTGGGCTGTTACCAAGCAAATGAAATAAGTATCAACAAAACTGATCTTTCCAATGCAGAGGAAACACAGAAGCTCATTTAGATGCATTTACACACTGTTTAATGCAGCTCTGAGGGACATTAAATACTTTAACCTGCAGTTACAAATGCATAAATAATGTTTTGATATTTTAAACATAAAACATTGAAAACTAATGTTTTAAATTATTTAAAAAATGAAAAGGTACCTTAAATGTGAAACTAAACCCGCCAGTAGGTGGCAGCAAGTCACTGTTAAGTGAGTCATTGCGATTGAACCGAATCTATTCATGGTTGAATCAAACTGTTTATTCATTCAGGAACAAAACACTGTCTGTTGCTCAGAGACGCAAAACAGTGCTGTGACTGTGTTTGGAATGATTTTTGTTGGAGAAATAGAGCAAAAATATGGTGTCTAAAATTAATGGTGTCTCTTAATATTAACTTCTTGTTTACTGAACTGTTGTAGAAAAATTAATATTACATTTGTAATCATGCTGACTTTTGGAGAAAAAACGGCACACTTTGTGTGATATTA